TCAAAAGCTTAGTGACTTGATGGAGCTAGTAAATCAGCTTATTTGAGATACTTGCCCTTATACTGTACAGTGTATATATGCCTAACTGTCAAGGCCAAGTGGCGTGCACATCTCAAGCTACATGTATCTACTGTAGTATGCAATTACAAACTCTTTTTCAGTCGTGATGCTTAAAGATAAGCTTGAGTTCTGGTAATGATACAGAATCCAACAAAACTTACACTGAATATTCAAGATTACAAAGAAATGACATTTGCCAAACGATTTTAGTAGTATAACGGGCTGAGTAATGAGCATAGAAAGATTAGGAAATCAAGGTAAGTAGGCCCGACACCATTGTGTGCAAATGAGAGTTGTGCTTTTTAGTGAAGATGATTTCCTGCAAGTTTTTGTGAGGTTGTTTTTATTTTACTGGTTCAAATAATCAATCTACTACAGGCAGTCCATAGGCCCTGTCATGAAGCTGTTGCAGACAAGGTAGCCACATACTAACAAAGTTAGGCTAGTCCCAAGGCTTCATTATATCTCATTGTCAAATTAGAGGTCGCGCCAGCAGTAAACATGCTAGCCAAATGTAATGATTAATAAGTCCTTGACTTTCAAATCACTCTATTATTCTTGACAAAGCACACATAGACTGACAAAGTTTGACTACATGGACATGTAGGCACAAGGTTTTGATGTGTTTAATTGTCAAATTAGAGTCTGCAGCGGCAGACTACATGCTACACAAGTGTAATGGTTTAATGGATCCTTGATTTTCAAATCACTCTATCATTGGAATTGGTGTCTTAATTAGATGGACCTATCTCTTAGCTAGCGCTCTCTATACTGGGCAAAGGTGTCTCGCACACTGTCGTTTACAAGAGTCGTTTACACAAACACACACACACACTGACACACATGAAGATGTCATCCTCATTCCGTGCCCAGCAATAATCACTACATGTATGTATTCTCATTGGCAACAGCCAAAAGGGGTTGTAGTCACATTTTCACTTAAGGTCCGGGCCATCAATTATTGTTAAAAGCAAAGAAGGAAATGTATTCAGTGATTAAACGTGTTACTAAAATATATCTTAGGCTGACTCTGTTAAATTTTGAAGAAAGGGGGGGGGGCAATCATTAAAAAAATATCGCCCTCAATAGGCCTGTCATCATCAGACCGAAGTTGCCAAATAACCCGCTATTTTAACTAGCCCGATATCAAATTAGCCAGCTAATATACGTCCTCATCAGCCCGCAGTTGCAATTAGCGGGCTATTTGGTAGAGAAAATATCCTGAGAAAAGTTGGTCTTGTTTCCAAAATAGAGAGCTAATTTGGAAACAGCGTCCGAGCAAGTTTGTGATGACCGTATCAGTCTGGTGAAGACGCAATTTCAAGCTTCTGGAAATATAGTCTGAAAATAGCTGGTTATTTTGCAACTTCGGTCTGATGAAGACAGGCCTTTTATCTCTGTCTTTCTATTTGCTACTCATGATGTTCAATGATTAGTTAATATCATACATTTTATTTTAGATTTCATCCTAAATGAAAAGAAATGTACCTTCAAATGCCCCTTGACTGTGACACATTTAAACCAAGTCACAGATACTGTACTTCTGTGATAAATCAGTTTACAACAGCCATTGAGACAAGCACACTCTCAGATAAAGTGAGATAAATTGCCCTCTCTGTGTACATTATGTGTGTACAGTGATGATGATGCAGTCATGTTCTAAGTCCATTCACATGAATCTTCATGAAACTTGATAATGTTTTACATTTTAGCATTGCGCACCTTGTTTATTCTCTCATTCATTCATTCATTTGTTTGTTCTTTCAGTTTTTATGAACAAAGTATGATATGTGATGTTAGGCGAAAGAATAATAATATCAAGTTTAGAATATGAAACAATGGATGGAATAGATTATCATAACAATTTAACATAAGCATGTACATGAACGTCAAAGTACATGAAACTATCGAACAAACAGTAAAATTATGTGCATTAGATATATATTTGTTGTTCAATGAATAGGATATGAAAAGATACAATACAATAAAGTCATTTCTATAGCAGTCTTACAAACTAGGTGTTTGACAGCACTTTACATACAAAATTATCAAAGAATCTATCATGGTCAAAGAGAATAGTTTGATAGTTGATAAACAAATAATATGTTGAAGCTCATTCCAGAGACGAGTAGCATATATGCCTGAAAAGCATTGTCGCCAGCTTTGGTGTATGTTCGAGGAACATGTAGCAGGGGGTGCTTGCCCTGAATTTGCAATAAAGTTGATTTTCATGTGAAGCAAGTATTACAGATATTATACAGTTCTGTTGAATTCATACACTGAGCTGGATCCAGGTCTCTGTAAAAGGGGGGGGGGGGGGTAGGACAGTTGAAAATCTGCAACAAGGAACAACAACAAAATTGTTATACACCTGTTAATGCGGTCCTAATATAGTTGATCAATACATCATTGCTGAATATCCATTGGACCTTGTATCTTTCTACATCCAATATCCGTTCTGCTTTTTACTCAATCTACTCATCCCTTATCAAGCCCATCCTTGAACTTCACGCTTTAGATACTAATTTATCACATCCGGACAGTGTTTTTTTAAAGGCTAATAGCATTCAGCCATTCCTTCCTGAATAGAACATTCTCAAATTTGATGCACAATTTTTTGTAAAGTGTCCTGTTACAAATTATTTCATTCACCTGTTACAAATAGTTGTATTTCAATAGTTAGAATGCGAATTGCATACATTACGTGTTGTTAGGTAGTACAATCCATATTGTTTGTCCTACCTAGCAACAATGAATGTATGCACAATTTTTTGTTATGTGTCCTGTTACAAATTATTTCATTCACCTGTTATAATAATTGTATTTCATTAGTTAAAATGTGAATTGGACACATTACATGTTGTAAGGTAGGACAAGCCATGATGTTTGTCCTACCTAATGATAATGAATGTACTGTATGCACTTAACAAAGATTTGTGCATTAAATTTGATTACATTACGAAAATGGTCTATTGGCAATACTTACACTAGTTTTTTTTTCTTCTTCTTCTGCAGATACCCTTCTTTTTTTAAATATATTGTCTCTGGAAAGGGGTATATATTAAATTAGATTGACATTACATTTTAAAATGAAATAATGTTATCTGTTGGGTAAAAAGAAGTGATAAAGAGAATATTGTGTTGCCAATTTTATGATCTTAATGCTTTGCTATATAACCTTCATACCACCTTATAATAGGCACCTGTAGGTTATCTGCTGGTGCATCTGGTATACTTTAGAGCTCTGAAAATATATTAAGCCAAATCATAAAAATATGGATTTTTATCCTGTGTGGAATAACCACAGAGTAAAAAGGAAGTATTCACCAGGTACATGTATACCCCTGGTTTACCTCAGGTGTCTTATTGTTGACCTGTTGTCTTCTGTCTGGGTCCGTCTGCAGTGCTGTCACTCGCAGCACAATTCCACACACCATTGAACCAATCAAACCAAGAACATGAATAATTAAAGACGGAATCCCATCTGCAACTTCTCCAGCGCTACCAACCAGAAAACCATCTCCTTCATTCGCCGGCGAGCCACCTACTCAATCGCTTCCAGCCAAATAGGTTGAGAGGTTTTCTTTTGCGAAGGCCATTCAGATTTAATTTCAATCCCCGCAAACCATTTATCAAATAAGCATTTCAATTAAGGATCAATTTTGCACGGTCGCACCACAGTCGTAAACACTCATGTCAAATTCGAAGCAGATACGATGGCTCTTTTCCAAATAAACAGTCTCATCAACACTGAATATTAATGGCAGAGATTGAGAGGAAAGGAAATAGCCCGAGCAGTCTTTTCTGTTTCTTTTTGAATTATTCATAGTATTTGATTATCCTGTTTGGAGAATGGCATTTGAAATTCATTTGCTGATTTACTCCAAGTGTGGTGATCATTTTGATCAATTGTGGCTGTGTCATGAATTTAAATTGGAAATTTCATGGAGGATTTCAAAAATAGAACTCTTTATGGTTTTTTTTTTCTTTTTGTTACAGTAAGCACTCTATTTGCTCTAAAATACCACGATGATCACTTCAGTGCACATTCATTCTCTCCATTTTTTGCATATATCCATTTTTTTTCACTTTCTATTCCCTCTTTTGTTCCTTACATATTTTATCTCTTCCTTTCTCAATTTGCCTTGTGTTTGTTTGTTTTTTCTTCCTCTCACTCCCCCATTTTCGTTAGTCTGCTCCAATTTTCCAATTGCAAATCTTTTTATTTATGTGGCATAATATGCTTTGGTACCAAAATTGTCAGAATATACATCTGTGCCAAATAGACGATCGTAGAAAGAATATACTTATGCATAGCCCTTAAAGAGTGAAGACCTTCATCAAGTTAATACTTTCTACACTCATGTGTTTAAATTTGTATACCCGAATTAAAAAAAAGGTTAACAAAATGAATGTAATGAGTACGTCTGAGACTGAACACTACTTCTGAGGAAAAAAGTGACCCCCAAAACGACCAAAAAAATGAATAAAACCGTCAAACCCAAACAATGTTTGAAATTCATACAGCTCTTTGTCAAATGTACACAGATTGCAGTAAAGTATAAATACCTCTCCTTAGTTGCTTTCTTGAAAGTTTTTGTGATCATCCTCTCTTCATCTTAAGTCTTGATTATTTTTTCTTCTTCTTTTATTCTTAGAGGGAAGAGAGTGGCAGCTTTTCCCTTTAAAATCAGAAAAAGGGTCTCTTTAGATGATCCTCGAAAGTCTTTATAATCATGCTCTATGCTACATGTAAGCAATACATCTTGAGTCTTGTTAATTTTGTTCCTTCTTTTATTCTTCGAAGGAAGAGAGTGGCAGCATGTTCCTTCACAATCAGAAGAAGGTCCCATGGATGATTTCTCGAAAGTCTTTGTGATCATGCTTTCTGCTAAGCAAAATATCTTTAATCTTTTCATTTTGTTTTTATCTTTAAACAGGGCAGAGAGTGGCAGCATGTTCCTTTACAATCGGAAGAAGGTGAAATACAGGAACGATGGATATCTGTGGAAGAAAAGGAAAGATTGCAAGACAACCAGGGAAGATCACATGAAACTCAAAATCAAAGGAGTGGATGTAAGTCCTTTTGCATCTTAATATCTTATCAAATATTTTCATATTTCTATATTTAAGTTTTTTAATCAGATGTAAATTTGGAATCATCTTTAATATATGATTCATGTTTATTGCAACAAACGTTTGTAAATGTGCGATTGCAGCTACTTTGTTAATTGAAATTATCAACATACATCAACAGAGGGATTTTAAAAAGTATTATGCACTTTATAACAAATTTGTATCAAAATCATTTCTAATCCTAACCCCCAACCCTACACTTACATGTATGAGAGAGAAAAGCTCGGAATAATGTTATGTTTTCTTTTTAAACAATAATATGGTGTCATAGAAATACTGTTTAACAAATTATAATCAACAGCTGCTAGAGCAAATATCACCTAACCTTGGAAGTACATGTAACTAATATGCATGATAAGTATCAGACTACTGGTATGTTAACAAATTTGAGAATGAATCATGTATCATTAGGCGTGTCTGCACTATCTCGAGATTGCCAAATATCCAGCTATTTGAACTATCCCGATCGCAAACTATCCAGTCAATTTGCGTCTTCATTAGAACGAAGTAGCAAATTAGCTGGATAGTTGGTCGGGATAATATCCCAAGATATCTCGGTCTAGTTTGCAAAATATCCCACTATTTCCAAACTAGCAGGATAGTTTGCGACCGTCTTAATTAGACCAAAGTATGGAGTCAAATATCCCGATCCCATCATGCACAACGATTTCCGGTTTTCCGTGTTAACTAGTTGTAGTAGCGCGTGCACATGCGATCTATACCGCTCAGCGGTGCATGATGGGATCGGGATATTTGACTCCGTACTTCGGTCTAATGAAGACGGTCGCAAACTATCCCGCTAGTTCGGAAATAGTGGGATATTTTGCAAACTAGACCGAGATATCTTGGGATATTATCCCGACCAACTATCCAGCTAATTTGCTACTTCGTTCTAATGAAGACGCAATTAGCTGGATAGTTTGCGATCGGGATAGTTCAAATAGCTGGATATTTGGCAATCTCGAGATAGTGAAGACGGGCCTAATGTAAAGTCTGATACAGATCTTCTAACGATGTGTACATTTAAGAAGAATGAAATGAATATTTGAGTGACAGCTCCCTTTGTAGTGTAATCATCTGTTGCAATATGTGCCGTACCCCAGGTGCAAGATGGCAATCGTGCATACCCCCACATCTCCTAGTACAAGAACAAATCATCAGCTACTCCTCAAAACGAGAACGAACATCTCCGCTAGACTTTTCCCCTGTTGATTACTTACTTTACTTACGCTATTGATTTTTTTTCTCTCCCTCCTCTCTTCTTTCGATGTTCCAAATCCTCTCGCAGTGTCTCTATGGCAACTACGTTCACTCGGCCATCATCCCGACATTCCACAGAAGATGTTATTGGCTCCTCCAGGTGAGTCTAATACACCGTCGCCGGATGCGCTTACAACGTGTTGTGTGTTAATTTTGCTCATTGATGTACCTCTAATTGAGCCTTCTTTAAATTAGCAATGATGGAGGTTTTTTTAAAGAAATATAGTCTCAATTTTTTTTTAATGTATAAGATTGTTCAAATATATGTATGATGTTACCCATTCAAGAGAGATAATTTTGTAAGATCCAGATTGTTTATTTTCTTCTTTGAATTGGCGGCATATGTACAGTATTTTAAAACTATTCAAGTGTAAGAATTATTTACCCACTCTAAAAAGAAATTTGTAAGGGCTAGATGATTAATTAGTCATCTCCTTTAAATTGGCAACAGTAAACATTAAACAGGAAACATGGAATACAAAGAATTTTGAAGGTAAATAAAGGACTGCAGGGGAAAGAAATAAATGACATGTTTGATGCTATATCAGGCAAACTTTGATGCAGAATGTGAACAGCACACTACAAAGGGGTGAGAAGAAAGAAAAATGAAAAAATAGATTGAAAGAAAGTTGCTTGTGTGGTGGGGGAGGGGGGGGGGGAGATTTTAAAAAAGCATTATGCAGGTGGTGTATTGTTCAATTATAAACTGAGACAGAGCCATGGAAAAACACTTCTCACTCAAAAGACATAAGACAATCAACAGATGCTTGCAGTCAACATGACTACCTCCCGTCAGTGCAGCGATGCAGCAAGCAGGGAGAATACAAAGGCTAGCCGCTCAGACTAATAAATCATTGCTGTCAAGACGAGCCCATTAAATATGACCTTTCCACAACAACCCTGCAGTTGAGCATGGGCATGCCAGGCTCCCCAGCCCTCTAGGGGTTAATGCTCAGGCGATAATGAACCTCTTAAGGCTGAGGAATAAGGCTTTCAATGCTGGAGTTACATCAAAAGAGTCTGTATCCAAATAGATATGTGATACTGTTTTAATAAATTAATTAAAATGTAAGTGTTGAAATCTTGTATTCTAGCATGTTTGAATGAGCGTGATATGAATAGGCGCTTTTGTCTTCATTAGCGGTGTTAGTTGCATTAGACGAATAGCGTTCACGAGAGCGGAAATTGCGAGAACCACTTTGTCATATTTGTCTATTGATAGTCGAGTTACCTTGAGTTCTGTGTTTACGCTTTCAAGAAAATTAACCATCATAGCTTTTTTTCTTTTTCTCATCGAGTATCTTCCCTTGAGAGCCAAAAGGGCCGTCATGAGCTCTTTGTGAAGTGCTTTATAACTAATGTCTTTCTGTCCTTCTCACTCTCGGCTCTGGTGGATAGGAGGATGATGATAAGATGGGATTATAGGATTTGTAAATTATAATATTCAGGATCATACATGCAGCAAGTTTGCTAGCAAAATACTGTATATTGCATGCATGACAAACTTAAGTGTCAACTTTGATATTTCAGGGTAGGATGAAATCGCTTTTGTGAAATTCTGTATTCAGTTTCAACATGTTTTATTAATGACATGCCATTTATTGAGAGTAGAGTTGACAAACCTTTTCATCATATATTTTTCTGTTAATTCCAGTATTTGATTTTCCTTTGTTTAAAATTTGATTATAATGATGTAAGATGTGTACAAATTTTTCTACAAAAGTATCGCTTCATTTGTGTGACTGAAATGAGAAACTATGTCTCCTACATGTATCAACTGTAACAATGTTTGCTAAAATTGAGTTTAGCATCAAACAAAAAGCATAGCCAACTTTGTTTAATAGAAGTACTCTAGTTTCATGGAGAATCAATATTATAAACTAAAATTTACGAAATGTGATGTCTAGACTATGTAATGCTGGTAAAAGAAAGAAATGCATATTAAGCAAAGATTTAAAGATTAGCAACTGAAACAGGAATGATTCTGGCCGGGCCCTACTACATCATAAACTTGTTCAACAGATGATTTCAACTTCTATGTGTACCAGAGTCACTAGGATATGGACATATTTCTTCCACATATTCATGGAATGACCTGTTACTAGCATCTCTTCTTGACATCGGCTTGTCACTCTGATATGATACTCACACAAAGTAACCTTTTTAGCATTTCCATAATCTGCAAAGTATTTTTAGGATTTCCATTATCTAAGCTTTACTCTGATGCTTTTAAAGCCTTGGTCACAAATGCCATTACGAACTGCTACGAATGCCGTACGAACGATTTTCAGACAATGGAAATTTGGGAAGACAATAAAAAACATACAAAATTATCGTTCGTACGAACCTTTGTGACCGTAGCATAACATACTCTTGCTAACAAATATATGTTTTATCTTTAAACCAGCCATAAAGCCAGCATGGTGAAAAGAAACCTATTTTGGAGAAAATCAGCCTTAAAGATTAAGAGCAGTTAAATATGTAGTGAAGTGAGGAGTATTAAAGTGCATTGTAAAGCATGTCTTCAGTCAGCTATGGAAACATGCATTCCTCATACCTGCCAACCACCCCGATTTAGGCGGAGTTCCTCCGCATTTTTCATACCAACTCCGAATTCCGAGTGCATGCCTCAAAACTCCGATTTTTTTTTATTTTATTTTTTATTTTTTATTTTTTTTAGAGTGTAATGCACTTGGAAAGTATATAACTATTATGTTTGTATTTTGAAATGTAAAGCGCCTTGAGCATGTTCATGTAAAGGCGCTCAATAAATACCAATATGTATGTATGTATGTATGTATAAGACTAAAGCATAACACAGCACTGATAACCAGATCACGCCGACATCCGCGCTCGCGCTCATAGAAGATGTACACAGCGCAGCCCGAACGTGATCGTTAGTTCCGCAGTCACCCCCTGTGTACCCCCCCCCCCCCCCCAATCTACGGGCTACTACCCCAATCCTCCGGTGGTTCGCGACCTCGTAGTCCATCCAGAAAAATTTACTCCTAATTTCTCTTGTCTCAGGTTGGCAGGTATGATTCCTGCATTCAAAGAGTGAGAAGAAAAACATTTTAAAAAATTAGTATGAATTTAATCTAGAAATTGGTCAGAGGATAGATATTGCAGATTTCTTTCATGACAAAGCTGTACAATTTGTATTTATGTGGTATTCTTATCACTAAACACAATTTTTGATGATTTTTCTGTGATTCTGCAAGCTGATTTGACAGTACTTCATCGTCCTACAAATTAAGCCTTACTACAAACCTGTGTGTAGGAAAATGTACATTTAACATATTAGTTGTGTTCATGCATGGCTTGAAGAATCAATCGCTGCAAGATTTCCCTGGAGAAACTCAGTATTCATGTATGAATTCCAAGACCTAGCTGGAAAAACAATCATGTTGGATTCATAATGAGTAAAAACATGAGAAGATATTGCATGTTGAAAATTGCTTGCTATATAATACTCATTGCAGTGGGCTTCTGTGTCGTGCAATGTGTCAGATTTTTCCCTTTTTCTTTTTTTACTTTCTTTCTTTTTTCTTTTTTTCTTTGTCTTTCCTGCATCCTCTCTATCAATATCTATTTCTCTCTATCGCACTCTCTCTCTCACCCTCTCCATTGCTTCCTCCCCCTCTCCTTTCATCCCTCCCTCTCTTTTTCCCTCTTTCTCTTTCCCTCTCTCTTTTTCTCTCTTTCTCTCTCCCTCCCTCCCCCACATTTTCTTCCTCCGTCTATCCCTCTTACACTCTCCATCTTGATTCAATTTTGGATTTATTGTAAAAATTTAAAAAACCATGGCAAAAGTCCAGAGACTACTATCGTTATATTTACAGTAAAAGACAAGAAAACATGAAATATTGTTATACATTGTACATTTACGTAAAGTAGTTCAATAAAAACTAAAAAGAAGAATTTGATTTCATGCATTAAAGAAGTTAACATAAAAAAGTAATTGTTACATTGAATTCAATTGTACCGATTTTTGCAAGATTAATAAATATCAAAGTATAGTTGTAAATCCAATTATTAAAGGTAATACAAAGTTTTTGGAAATTTTGAAAATTGGGTGGATAGTGATTCTGTACAATTTTGATATATTTGGATGCCCCTGAAGATGTATTATAAGCACTAGAAAAATTAGCCCCTGAAACACTTCTGCTTTTGAGAAAAATTGAATATAACAATTTACCGGTGCTCCCGGTAAATTTTGATAAATTTCAATTAGCGCCTACTGCTGTACAATGGTAGCTGCGATCATGAAAATCTCAGAATAAGTAGATGTGATATATAATTTCCAAACGGGAATAGCTAATCGGTCAATTTTAGTCAAGAAACATTGTTGTATAACTTCATTAATATATTGACCTTGAGAGGGAGCTACATGTACAGGTATACAACATAACAAGTATTATTTACAATTTCATAACTTTAGACTCGATTTCAACCGCGACAACGATCATTGAATATTGTAGGATCGCATATGCTTCCAATATGTTTATTTAAACCAAATTCATGACCCCATACCAAAACTTTGTATTACCTTTAATATTGCTGTTATTAAAGAAAACAAAATAAAAGTATACCAAACTGTTATATTCATAAGTGCAACTGTTACTATAATTATTATTATTATTACACAAAACACAATAACAGACCTGAAGCCTGCCTGCCTGCATGAGCTGGTAATTTCATTACTCATTGATTGTCTCTACTCGGCTTCTGATCACACCCTATAATACATCTAATGCTAATTGGTTTCGCATTATATCATGCATGCATACATTTATTGATTCCTCTCTACCTCTTTTCGTGGAACTCGGCCTTCCTCTAGTACAGTAAACTTGTTGTGATTGACCAGAGGCTTTACAGTGGGTGCCAAAATATATTTTCATAAACTTATGTTTTAATAGCTATACCAGTACCTATATATTTTAATAGCTATGCATATATCTTTTAAAAGCTCTAACATTATATGTTTAAAAATCTATGCAAATATAGTTTGATAGCTATATATATATCGTTTAATAGATATTACATTTATATTTTAATAGCTAACTGGTATAATCTTAGTAAAAGCTATGTATATGTATT